ACCTGTCTTGCTAGAGGGTGATTGGATTAACAATTTGTCAATCTCTTTCTGAAGCCAGTTTGGAGGCGAGGGAAAATATATTTCCATCAAAAGCCTTCAGTGCAGTCTTTGTTTTCCCTTTAATGGAGACATATTCTCTTGTTCTGTTAATCCATTACACCCCAACTTCTTTGGAAGTCCCCAATGTTGTTTTGAACGAAAAATTGTTGCTTTGTGTCGAGTCACACACCTAAACTGCTCCTAACGCTGCCACTAGTTCTTCACCGGACTCTGATTGGACTGTGGTTTTCGGCATTATTGCAAAAATTATAAGTTAAGTGTACCAGAAGAAGATGTTGCTTGCAGGAAAAGTTAGTCAAATCAGGTCAGAAACTCTCATATTTTCAGCCTTTTCAGTTTCCACCAGAGTTAAGCAAGGATGTGCTGTCAAACTGAATCCTGTACCTAAAAGATTGGAACCTTTGGAAGACACCCATTTTGATTTGACTTATAGCAACTACTGAAGGCATAAGCTTCACCTGATGCTTAGACTTTGGATTCATCCCTATGTTCAAGTCGCTCTCGACTTCTAGAGGATTGCTTCACCGAGATTCACTGATTCAATCGGCTTGTACAGTATCATTTTGAGCAGTGTGGCTGCACTCTAAGTCCCTCTGGATGACAGCATGTGCTGTAAAAGTAATTCTGTTTTGCAATTTTTGTAACAGCACAGTTTCATTTACACCATTTGGGGCACCGACCCAGCGGCGATACAAAATGTGAAGTAACCTGCTCCTGTCTGAACTCCTATCAAACTGAAGATTGTCCCTGTGAAAGTTTTGTAGAGTCACTCAGCAAGCAGTTATGTATTCTCACACTGTAGTCACCAGTGCAGCAGCGTAAAAAACAGCTTTTATTATCTCTGCCACCTGTCAGGCTTTCTGTTTGTGCTCCGGTCAGTGGAAATGTGAGGGAAAGAAAGGATGCTTTGATTGGCTGCCTTCGTGCTGTCGTTCTTCATTGGTATTCTGCACACAGGAAGTGTGGGGTGCAGAGTTTCTCCCGACCTCCCATGGCTTTTCTCCTCTGGGTCTCATCCTCGCCTGTTAGGGAAGGGATTTGCAATGTTACTTAATCCTCTATTAACATTTCCCTTTCGTTACAGAAAGACAGTACTTTCTCTGCTTTCAGTGTAATTTTCTTGTAAGTGGCCAAACCCTTGTGTCCTGTTCTGTTCAGTTCAGGCTTTTCAGAACAGTGAGGAAGTACACTGGAGTAGCAGAGCCCCACCTATTGGCGGACATCGAGAATTGCACATGGTTTGAGGCATCAGAATGCGGCATGGTGGGCTTGATAGGCACATTTCCTGCAGTGCCACATGAGTGTGTGGGAGTGCTGATGCTGTTTTATGATGGCACAGATTGTGAGGTATTTAAATTTTGAAATGTATAGCCTGTCACAAAGGGAATGAGTACTCCTATTTCACACTCAGCCAGACACATCAGAAAATGTATTTCACACAATGCAAACGCCTCAATTCACACATAAACAGTGAATTTTGTAGAGTTTGTCACGCCACCACTCCCTGAGCAAGCACAGCCGAGAAATCAATGTCCATCTTCTTTCTCTTTGCATCTTTGACTCAGTGCTTTTGACAGCAGGAGACACAGCAGTAAGAAGCTTTTATCTGGAAACTGATAGGCTTGAGCTCTTATATTCTCCTTGGTTCCATCTCTGAATGCTTTTCAAGGATGAATGAGGGAGAAGGCCATGACCCTTTCCCCCGCTTTGTTTCGATGACTGGGGAGCCCTTTGATGAATCAACTGTGTAATAATTGAAAAAAAACAGCCATGGATTTCTATTTATCTGTCTTGCTATTTATTTCTGGGTAATTTGGCACTAATGTGCAAAAATAAAACAATGTGGTTGATAAGAGCTTGGGTTAGGGTTAGAGCCTAATCAGCCGAAACATATAAATTGAACCTGTAGGGGTATTACACTTTTCCCAATTTGACTGACACCGCAGATTTCCAGTCCACTAATTAAGTGTGAATCTTGACCTCTGCTTCTGCGAGCCCCTCTTCTTCAGCCAAACCCTGTTGGAGTTGAGTATTAATATCAAACTCTCTCCTATCTGCTGCTGGCTTAATACCTGAACACTGACATGACTCAGGATTTCCCAGTAGTCTTGAAACATGACTTCTGACTTGAGTAAACTACAGTACATCTTGCTGCTGTAGAGCTGGACTGCTGGAGGGGATGTGAGGACAGATTGTTCATTGTTCATTAAAGTGTATGCAGCAGGCATTTCGTCCTGCCGTGAGAAATTTGCCTTCAGTCAGCCGCTTATGACGCGGTTTTTGCAGGGGGTCAGGAGACAGCGCCCAGTGGTGCATGCCTCCTCCCCGCAATGGGACCATAACCCTCAGAACGACCCCTCCTTTATTCCCAAGAACCTAAGGAGTTCGTTCAGGTCGGGGGCTATACAATTAAACGGCTTTATTCTTCCACCCCATATTGGGGACAGGGAGGCTAAATTGCACCGGGCAGGCGGGGGGAGGCGGGGGGAGCCTTCCCCACTATCGTCCATGCACACTCTACACGAGGTGAGCTTGTGTGAGTGTGGGGGACATGGTGCACTTACGTTCTCCCCATGCTCCTTAGGGACCCGGGAAACATGGTGTACGGTAAGCCCCATGCAGGGCTGGAGGACTCTCCTCACTATTTTCCATGCACACTCTTCACGAGGTAAGCGTGTCGGAGTGTGCTCTACCAGCCAAGTAAACTGCAGCCCTGAGTTCTCCACGGTCACAGCCGGAGGAGAAGAAGTTGCGGTGCAGTGGCTGTTAACCAAAAGCTGGTCAGGGGCAGTGTGATGGGTCGATGTTGTTGGACAACAGGGCGTTTATGCATCAGGGCTCCACCCACTGTACCCATAGAGTCCAGTAGAGGGCGGAGCCTGTGTAAGATATAACGGGGGGTTACGTATTGTAACCCTAGTTATATAAGCACAGGCGGAGCCCTCTACTCTGGGCCCTGTCTTTCCTATGCCACTCGCTGAAGAGGGTGTAGGATGACGGTCAGGAAGCGTGGCCGCCTTATATACGGTGGGCTTGCGCACGCATTCAGGTAGGCCCGCCCCGATTGGCCGGCTACGTTTATAGATATCTCAGTAGGTGAATGCTCGCATAGCATGGTTAAGAGGTAGTACCCATAGAGTCCAGTAGAGGGCTCCGCCTGTGCTTATATAACTAGGGTTACAATACGTAACCCCCCGTTCTGTTCCTAGGGTCCAATGCAAACAGGTTCCAACATGAAGTTTCAAGACCATTACACTAAAATGAACCTCCTAAAATGTTTTATTATTTATTATTTAAACTTTATATTCATTGACTTGGTTATTCCATACAGTGCATGTTCTTAAATCAAAATACAAACGTATTTCTTTACAGGTAGTAAAATAAAACAAAGGAAACATATTAATGTATGCATGTTTTTAGTAGGTCCAGATATGTTCTGGTCTTATGGTAAGTGATTGGTAAAGGTTACTTTTGAAGAACAAATAGCAAAAGAACAAAGGGAGGTAGATGTTTAAAATGCAATTTGAGTTTTAAATATGAATTCAGCCAGTGTAGACACATCAAGAAAAAGACCCAGAACTTAGAGGGCTGTTTCATTTGTAACAGTAAGCTAGAAGCTGTAGGCAGGTGATTTCAAATGATAGACCTGTAAACATACATTGAACATTTGATCCAGGGAAAAACATTGCTGAGACCATCAAATATTCTAAATGTCTTCTGTGTCATATTATGCACATATGGAGCTGGAGAACAAAGAGCGAAATAGAATGAAAACTAGAAAGGCAACTTAGGCAGATTGGACCTAGTAAAAATCTAATATTTATGAGGAATTTGGCATTTTTAGCCCAGAGCATATGCTAAGAGGCTAACGCAGAAAGTATCAAACAGCATGCAGTCGTTTATTTTTCTAACGAGGGCTCAGATAGGTCTGTTCTTAGTGTCTTTTTTTATGGGCCTGTGCATCTCAGTGCAACAGTGTTATCTGCTCCAGTACCCATGGGTGTGCTCGGGTCCACTAAGCACGCAGCTGATGGCAGCTCAGGGACCTTTCATTATCGCCACGTCTCATAACTTTACACAGAGCTAATATCAGTGGGTGGTGTTGCCATATGGTGGTAATTTCAGCTCGTATGGGTTGCAACAACAGAAATGTCTCAGTGGATCATTTGCATGGGGGACTTTCATTACCATATGGGCGCTGATATTTTGGTTACACTAGAAGGTGATGTCGATATCTGTAATGCATTATAAATATACTTATAATGTGTTAAGATTTACTTACAAGCACCATTATTCATAGTGATTTAAATGAAAGCCATAAGTCATTAAGCATTTTAGAATTACTAATGAGTATCTTCATTTTTCCTAATTTCAGTTTAGTCACTGACGTTGTTTTCTTCAAATAACCTCCTGCTGAAGTATTATACTAATTGAAACTTTAAAAAAAAAAAAAGCTTTATTATTTGTTATTATTTAAAAAGCATAGTGCATATTTATGAGTGCTTGTACTCATAATAATACACAGCTATAAGCAGAATATAATGCATGATAAGTAACAGTAGCTTTATAACAATAACCATCACACATATTAAAACATTTTACAATTAGCTTTTATATCACAAATCATTAACTCACTTAAATGTTTTCTTTGAAAGATTATAGTCTCTATTTTTTTTTTTTCCAATATCCTTGGAGAAAAATGTCCAGGAGTGACCAATAATTGTGAAGTATTATAGTACTTGACCTAATATTATAATTCTTTCAAAAATGCTTTATAATGTTTTATTGTTAAAAAGCATTATTATTAAGTGCTGATAAATGTAAATTGACAGTAGCAGAATACTGCATTTTCAAATGTCTTTGAATTCTGAATTGTTAGTAGTTATATTTGCTCACAAGTTTATTGTGTGTATACTGTGTGTGTGTGTTTCTTTCTGCAGGCGTACCGTTTCCTTGCCATCAATAAGAAGCTGGGCTTGAGTGGGCGTCCAGATAGGCCAGTGGGCTGCATCGGGACTTGCAAGGTATATGGATTTTCAAAATGCATAAACAAACATGTGCACAAAGGGTACATGCACACACATATTTGCACTCTGCGCAGCAAAGGTCATGGGTGACCACTAACACGCCTCCCACATGTAAACATTTCTCAGAGCTCTTGAGAAGAAGACAACTGTGATGGCCGACAGGTGCAAACACATTACATCGGCCCAAAACACAAGGAGAAAAGCACTGCAGTTTGAAAACTGATGCTTGTTGACTGTCACTGTTATTGGAAAGTTAACTAAATTGTGAGTTTTATTGGACTATTTTAACAATTTGATAGCATGATTCCTTCCCATATTATTGCAGATCTGCTGTAAGCTAGCTAGCTAATGTTACTTACCTGATTATTTTAAATATACTGACAAAACACGTACAATTTTGAAACTGACTTACTCTGCCAACAGGCCAATTTTATAATCCCAAACGTCAAAAGTCAACAAGCACTTTGGTCCCAGCTGTGTGCATCACTTTTTAGTGTCCTCGTGTGCGTTGTGTTTTGAGCTTCTTGCAGCGTATTTTTTATTTGCAGCTTTTTTTTATTTAAAGGTCCCATGACATGCTTTTCCGGTTATTACCCGTCCCCTTGTATGTTATGTAGATTTTTCTCCATGTAAACGGTCTGCAGAGTCAAAACCCCTCAAAGTACACCCTGTAGGGAGTAAAACTCTAACACAGAAAAGACCTGTCTATGCTGCCCCAGAACGCTTCGTTGGAGACTTTTCATTTTCCATTTTTTCTTCCTGGGTATGGTGACGTAACCATACCCAAATGGACCAATTGGTCCAAATGGACCATCCGCGGAGCCGTTACGTTACGTCCGCAGAGCCGTTACTTCCTCACACACACACACACACTCAATCTTTTCACAGCTGCAGCTCCGCAGATTTCTCAGCCTGAGACGGCGGGACGCGGCAAGGCTGTGAGTCTGTGTGCGAGCACACACACAGACTCACAGCCAGGCTGCGGGTGTGTGTGTGTGCTCGGGCTGGTTTCGGGCTGGGTTTCGCTGTGTCTCGCTGTCTCGCCGACCCCACGCAGCAACCAGGAAACCACACCAGTAAGCCAGCTCACACTGTCCGCTCCTCGCAGCAGTGCCGCCAACACGGCACCCAGACCCCACGCAGCATTCTCATCTGTTTGTCCTTACTGGTGGCATTTTCTGGTTGCTAACAAACGCCATTGTAACACATAATCACTGATGTTCCGCTGTAACGGTGGTGGACTCATCAGAACAGAGTGGGCGAGCTGACCAATCAGAGCACACTGGGCTCACAGGGAGGGGGGGGGGGGGCAGGAGCTCCAACAAGGCGTGTAGGACAGAGAGTGAATACACATACTATACAGAGATGCTGTATGAGAAACCAATGTGAGTTTGGAACATTGAACAATGTAAATCTATTCTAGTAGACCTCAACAATGGAAATATGATCAGTAGAAATGGCCATGTCATTAGACCTTTAAAGTGTTTCATTTATGCAGCGCTTTTAGTAAACCCTGCACTTGTTTCATCAAGTTGGTGAACATGTTTCTTTCATTTGCTTGCTCATGTGCTTTGCCACATTTGCGGTTTTATATTTGCAGCGTTTCTGAAACTGCAGCACTTGTTTACCTAATGGAAGTGTTTTGGGCTTTTGTTAACTGGTTTGCACGTGTCGGCCACCATAGCCAACAGCTCAAAAACTTAAAGAAAGAAAAAGTTTTTATCTTAATCTACACATCAGTTAAACTGAATAGATTTAGCTTTTTCTCTGGATTTGTTGCATTTAGAATAATGTGTCCGTGGAAGTGCGTGTGCACTAATGTCTCTTGCTAATGTTGTTTGCAGTTTCTCCCAAATGAAGGTCACCAAATAAGTCGAGCTACAGCTGTTTTTTTTTCCAACAAAGACACTGTCGAACAAATGTATTATGGCTCCCAACGCATTGCTAAGACAATATTATAATGGGACATTTATGGGGAAGATGGCAGACTGCCAGAGGGCGTTATCATCATCAGTGTCTTGGTGTGTGCCGCTGCAACAATCTGTATGTGTGAAAAGGGTTTTTTATACAGTTGTGTACTATGTACTATGTGTGTTTTCAGGAGCGGTTGTGCAGCTTCTGTGTGTCCACTCTATTTTAGGATTGATGGCTTGTTTTATACACTACCCGGAATAATGTATACGTGGCTACTTGTGAGCCATCCGTCTTCTAATGCAATACTGTGTGTGTGTGTGTGTGTGTGTGTGTGTGTGTGTGTGTGTGTGTGTGTGTGTGTGTGTGTGTGTGTGTGTGTGTGTGTGTGTGTGTGTGTGTGTGTGTGTGTGTGTGTGTGTGTGTGTGTGGTGTGTGTGTGTGGTGTGTGTGTGTGTGTGTGTGTGTGTGTGTGTGTGTGTGTGTGTGTGTGTGTGTGTGTGTGTGTGTGTGTGTGTGTGTGTGTGTGTGTGTGTGTGTGTGTGTGTGTGTGTGTGTGTGTGTGTGTGTCTCCAGATTTATCGTATCCTGGGCAAGACGGTGGTGTGCTACCCAATAGTGTTTGATCTAAGTGACTTTTACTTGTCCCAAGATGTTATGCTGCTGATTGATGACATTAAGGTAAGCCCAGGTCACACTTATTTATTGTTGCCATGACTCCACAGCTTATTATGTGCTCCGAAGAACTTTAATAACAGAGATATATTCAGCCTGTCTGCTCCTAAGAGATGCAGCTTGACATTTATGAAAAGACTGAAAATGAGCCGATATGGTTTGATCGCGTACCTGTTCTACATATACCCATAGAAAAGGTAAATATACTTTAAGGTCATATCTTACCTTTGACGTAGTTATCTAATTGTGTCCCATTTTTCCCTACACTTATAATACATCAAGTGTACCTCAAGTACATTCATTAAAAAGTGGCAGGGCGGAGTAATAGGTAATGAAATGTGCATATTGGACAGAAATGGGACGTCCCCGTGAGTCCTGGCCTGATTCAAGCTCTAGATGTATAGATTGATGATCTAGTTTGCTTATGTCTCTGTACATTTTTGTCACTAATTACTATCATACAATGTTGAACAACTTCCAGTGGGTCAATGTTGCTATGTGTTAGAGCACCTTTTTGATCATTAAAGTATATAAACATGTCACAGTAGAGGCACAAAATACAAATATAAACCTGAACATTAGCATAATAGGGCCCCTTTTATATAACAAATATATACATTTAAGAATCTGCATATATGTTTTATACATGTCTATATCTTATTAAAACATGTATCTTGTGTTGTTCTGTCATATAAGGCTATACAACTCCCTGATTCCCCCAGTTCAACCCCTGATTGTATGGTGTATGTATGTATATATATATATATATATACATACACCATACTGTGTGTATATATATATATACACATATATATATATATATATATATATATACAGTATAGTTAAGATAAATAACCTAGTTCCTTACTCTCTTGTTTGATCAGATCCTGTATCCCTTTAGTCGAGCTTAATCTGATGCAGCAAAGGTAATAACATATGTAGGGAAAAATCTGAAAAAAATCATTATTTAATTTAGATCGAAACACATTTAAAGTCTCATAATATAAAAGATGTTGGTCCTTACTACTGACTTATAAATAAATAAATCATAACTTCAGAATTTGTATTCCAAATAAAATTCCTATAAATGTAGATACACAATATACTGTACTTTAAAAAAATGTATAAAGATACAAGACCGTTTACATAATTTCATCTTCATAATCAAAAACATATCATTCTAAACTTGATGAGTTTGACAGTTGAGGAGGTTTTACTTTGCTCTGATTCAGTTTCTGCTCAGAAACAATGGAAGCTCCAATCTTTAGAACGGTAGGATGTTAGCCTATACCTATCTGATATCCTAACGTCTGTGTATGTTTTTGTCTGTGTGTGTTTTTGTCTGTGTGTACTTGTCTGTGTGTTTGTGTCTGCAGAACGCCCTGCAGTTCATCAAACAGTGCTGGAAGATGCAGGGACGTCCTCTCTTCCTGGTTCTCATCCGTGAGGATAACATCAAGTAATATAAACTTCAAAATATTTTTTTTATCCTTTTTTTCTTTTCCTCTGATAGCTTTCTTATGGCATTCTTCCTCCACCTATCTCCCAACACACCCTTCTCTGTCTCTCTCTTTCCATCTGATACTGACAACAAAATGCCATGACTCCCAATAAGGCCGTTTGCTTCATTTTCTTAAATCTAACTGTTTTCCTCCCTCCCATGTGCACTATTACTCTTCATAGCAGGAAGGTGCAACTGTATTTGCTTGCTGATTGGGCGATAATGTTTCTCATTTATATCACTATAGCCTGGCTGGTGGGCTGATTACAGCAGTATTGACCATTATCGAGAAAGCCATATTTTAAATGTGTTACAAGCGCTTAAACAGCCACACTGCAGTATATGGAATAAGTCAACGGGCTCTCAAAGAAGCAACTCAATAGTCATTATTTTGCTATTGATCGGGAGGATGACCTGTATAGGAGGAGACATCAGAGCAGATAAAGCTATCAGGATCTGGGTAAAATGTGCTGGTTCATTGAGAGACATTTCAGATGGAACTACTCTAATGATGTGTGTTTACATGTGTTCTGTTCTGTACATGGAATATAATCGTTAGCTCAGATGTTTTGCGTCTCAATGGGACAGATTCAGGCCCCGTCCACACAGAGACGAAAATGAAAACGAACCGATGTCGATATCAAAAAAGTATTCCGTCCACACGGAATCGGCTCAAGAAACGTGTCCGTCCACACGAGACCGCTCGACCTGCTGGAGGCGCTGTAGTACATATGCCGGGCCTGTAAGTGGCGCTGTACTTCCGCCACAAAATACACCAAAAGCAGCGAAGAAGACCCCCCGAGCATGGTTGCCATGGTTGCCTGGTTGCCCTTCTGGTTATTCTCTGCGGTGGATTTAGCAACATGTAGTTCATGTAGTTCTCCATGTCCACTTGTTGCTGATGGTTGTGGTAGAGGAGCTGTAGATTTTGCACTAACATCTGTAGCATGGTCAGTAGCGTCTGGAGCATGGATGTATAATAAGAACTGGATACAGCGTGGGAGGCGGGGCCTCGTTCATTCCTATGAGAGTTGCTCATTGGCGCATGAAGGCAAAATGGCCCAACTATTGAGAGAGCGAAACATCACAGATTACCCGTCATGCCTGGCTGTCAGAGCAGAAGAACCCGTATGTGCAGTCATATAGCATGCACCCCTTAGGCCCCGCCCCCCGAGCGCCCACTCTCGGCTCACTAGAATGAATGGAGAGAGAAAATAAATCTAGATTTGGCTTTTAGTGCATTTTACAACTTTAAGGACTTAACCTGTTTAGCCCGAGAGACCCCGGTACCGGGGCCCTCCCGCAACATCTTGCAGGAAACAGTGTCTGAGGGCATGTTCATTTGATAAACTATGAATGTTTTATATCCATGTAACAGGAAGAAACTCATCGAACTGATCATTTTTTTTTTTTTTTTTTTAAATAAAACCCACAATGCTAATGCTGAGCCTCTGAATCAGCAACGAGCGAAAAATGCTAACAGATTACTGCACCGAAAATCACTCACAAAACCTTATTATTTATCTTTTCTGCACATCCAACACATCGATTCACATCGTGAGGTGACACAGAATTGATGGGTACATACATTATCACTCAATGATACGAACTCGCGACTTTATAAACAAAAACAGACATCAAAACATGTGGCGCTAGGTAGCTAAAAACGCTAACATGGCTTACCTGTGTCGTAGTCTGGTCAAAAGTGGTCTTCAATGGCATTAAAACGATAAAAACGCTGCTGAAGTTAATCCATAGGTTAATCCAATGTGTCTGTGTCCCATTTAAATGATTTCTGATAATCCATAAGCAATAAAACTGCTTTTCCGTTTCCAGATGTCAAAGCTAGAGTATAGGGGGGCCAGAGATATGGAAAATCCACCCATATGACCCCAGAAGTGGTTTATTTTTGCTAAACCTCTCTAAAAAGGTCAAATGTCAATTGTTTTGTATCAATCTTGATACAGGGTACTTATTATATGTTGTACTTTGGATTCCTAAAGCTTTTAGTCTACTAACCCATCATCCAAGGGTAGTTTTCACTATAAGTAAAAAAGAATCTTTGGACGGACACTATAATTTACAGTTTTTTACTATGTTCAATCTGAATTTTGTTTAAAATAAAAAACATCTATATTGATTCTGACTTTTCTACATCCAACTCACAGGTTTATCATTACTTTGAGAACAAAGATTATTAATTTACCCCTTTTAGAAGGGAAGATATGGTCATTTGTTCTGGGAATGTCATTTTCGAGCCTGAGACCTGAAAAACAGGCTCAGGGCTTAACAGGTTAATGATTCTAATAAGGGCCATAAAATAGTTCATACTGGGTAGTTTATTTAGTTTAAAAAAAAGTATCCGCTGATTTACGTCTCTTTCCCCATGTTAGTCAATGGGAAAAAGTCTTTCTGGCCCGGGTGACGTCACGGAAGTTGCAGTACCGCCATTTGGACACTACGAATTTTGGGCACAGAGTCCGGAGCACTTTCTGGGGGCTTGGTCTGGAGCACGAACGCAACCCTGTGATCCGACATTGTTGTTGTTGGCGAAACGCATCAGCAATGACGTGGGTGACGCGGGGGTGAGCAGGAGAGGTGGGGAGAGGCGGGGCTATGATCGTTTAGGACGTACACACGGTGCCGCAAGCGTTACGTTACCAGACCTTCCCACTTTGGGATGCGTTATCGTTTGAGGGCTCCGTTTCCGCGATTCCGTTACGGCCTCGTGTGGACGAACCGTCCATACGATAAAGAACTATAGCGGATAACACCCGTTTCGTCTCCGTGTGGACGGGGCCTTACTGTTCTGTGCACTCTTGGAAATTAGTCCTTCTTTCTCATCAGGGGAAGCCGCTTCAACCCGGTCCTGGACATGCTGGCTTCATTCAAGAAAGGCGAAATCGGAGGGGTCAAAGTTCATGTGGACAGACTTCAGGTGTGTGGATTCAGTTCAAAAGATTATGTACACATCAAAAAGAAGCATGTGCATACTTGCATATACCCTGTGTTATTTTTAAACATAAACATAACATGGTTTTGAGAAAGTTGTCCAGCCCTTAATCTGAAAGGTTTTCCTTATATCAATAGCAGTGCCATTGTTTGTCTGTGTTCTGACCTTGGCCTGACAGATTCAATTTGGATGGCAAACTGTTTTGGTTTGCCTGGGAAAGGTGAAAGTGAATTAATCTTGTAGGGATAAAAGAAGGAGATGGAAACTATTAGGGTTAAGCTTGTTGTGGCTTGCCAAGAATATGGAATGACTTTAGGGGACAACAACAAATTAAATGGTGAATTCATAGATTAGAGATCTTTCCCTACAGGGTAACATTTGGCCTGCGGAGATGACTGTAGAGAAACCTCAGTGCCAACGTGCATTACTGAACACATTAACATCACTGGGTGATTCCGTATTTGTGGTATGAGGGCATGAATTATATATGCATAGGGAGTCACAGCTGCTATGAAACCCGCCTACTTAGTTCAGCAGTATAACTGATTAATTAATGGGAAGCTGTCAAGACAGGTTCCAGGGTTACTGCACTCTCAGAAGGTAGGAAGAACTTAAAATGAATGATGAATCACATCTTAAAACAAAGGACGACAAAAACGTTAAAGGAAGATTCACATCAAAATGGGTCTTGAGTCTTGCTTTCAAAGCCAGTGGAAGGGCCATACAATTACAACAACATGTGTATTTGAAGCTTCTATAATCAATATTTCATTATTAACAATGGAAGTACTAGAAGTTATGGAAGACATCGACCATTGGTTGGTGGACCGTGAGTTTCCCATGTTGCCATTTTGGCCTTTGCCCTTTTGGTTTTTATAATGAGGGTCAAGTTCAGAAAAAAACTAAACACTAAGCAAGTCATATTAAGCTGACAGAAATGCTACAGCCAACCTACATGAGCTGAAAATACAAAGTGAAAGGGTCAACATTTTAAGACAGAAACATGGAGAGTTCCTAGACTGAACAACACCCTAGCACCCTCTCAACGTTATTCCTTAGAACGCTGCCATGTCTAAGGCATATCGCTAGTTTATCATTTAGTTGTCTCTAAATGGTACCAAAATGTACAAATTGAACATCATGCTGTTTCGAAGAAGATATGGAACTAGTCATTGAGACCATAAACACATAAGTTAAATGTTTACTCACCTAATAAACCAAGTGAGAGGTGGGGTAATTTTCTCATGGACTCTATACAATCTGACTTAAAGGGGACGTATCATGCAAAATGCACTTTTGTATGTCTTTTATACATAAATATGTGTCCCCGTTGTATCAGGGAACTCACAAAGTGTCAGAAAACAAAAACCTCTCTCTTTTCTTCCGTACCCAAATCTCTAAACACGGGGGAACAACGGAGCGGATCCAGATTTGCGTCCGATATGACATAATATTGGAAATGTGGGCTGGCTTTACACCCACGGTCCTATCAGAAACGTCGCTATCAGAAACAATGCCCGACTGTTTTGGACATAATATGGTCTTTGTTTACATTAGCAAGCATTGCTAACACTCAGAGCTAACCTGTACTGGAGAGAGTATGTGTACAAAAGCAGGAAATAATAAAAGGAACTCAACTTGTGGTAAACTCGCAAGAGAAAAAGCATTTGAGCTCCATACTGTTTCAGAAATAATCCTTAATGTGGTTTGGAACATGATATGGCATTTACACATGGCAGAATTTAGCAGTATCTGCTGGTAGAATTCTGAGTAGGCATTAGCTCCCCCTCCTCTTTTTCATTTTTTTCAAGCTAAGGACCCAAAATCAGCGTTTCTCTAACAGGGCTGGAATAGAGGGATATGAGGGATGTCTAAAATGCATGATCTGTTTGGTATTTTGAGCAAAACACATCATAGACATGTTTTTATATATTCTTATATATCTGAGACCCATATGCCTAAAAATAGCATAATAGGAGACCTTTAAGATTGCTACCAGAAGAGCTGAACCTGCCTAGAACCAAATCATAGAAAGACAATGCCACTAACTGATCAACATAGCGGAGCATATACAGTAGCAGCTAAAGAGCCTGATATTTCCTGGTGGAGACCAAAAACTGAACTACAAGCGGAGTATTTATTAGAATTACATTCATCAGGCAGAACCAAACAAGACTCTGAATGAATGAAAGTGTTTCTCTGTATCTCCTAGATGAGCAAATAGACAACTAATTGCTAACTAATGCACTTATCACACCTTAACCCTAACCCTAACCCTTGTCTTCACTGTCCACAAGAGTCCAAAATAAGTTAATATCCGTTAAACCGGAGTAGAATTGTAGCACTGCTTACACATACTTTGTGTTGCTGGATGCCTTGTTCATGTCATATCTGAAGATGATGAACTCATTGGAAAGTTTTCAGCACATACTTCTTAGTTTTGGACTGTATTTGTTTAACTTGTAGGATTTCAACTCAAGGAAGCAAAGAAATAAAAAATTAGGCCAAGGTAGATTAGAATTATTTTCACATTGATAACTTTACTGCTTTGTCAAACTTATGAGAGGGTTTCTAGCCCTATCTTGCCTCCCACTGCGACTTGGTGTTCAGCAGAGACTTCCTTATATCCTCCTTCTTTTTCCCCTCTAAAAAGTTCTTCCTTGCCTTAGCTTATTTGCTATTCACTTCACAGCTAACTCCTACAGCTTTGAAACAGTCTCTTCTTCATCACAGACCTCATTGTTATGTGGAGCAGTATTTCTCTTTTCCTTCTCCTCTTATTTTTGTCTTCGACTTCAGTTGGAAAGGCTAACATCACATTTAGACCCGAGGAGCAGGTCAGATTAAACTGCACTCTTTGCTCCTACACGGCTACATGTGATTTTAAAATACTAAAACTTTTCCTTTTAGAGAGTAAATTGTCACTGCTGTACATATTTATACATTTTAAACAGTAGACTGAGCTCCACCTTTTTACTGCAAGTGCATTATTTAAACGGACGTGTTGTACCCTGTCTCCGCTGACAAAACTAATCTCAGGGATTTATAGCTGTAGGTTATCACCTTCTGTGTTTTTGGCTCCAAAATGAGTATGATTACCTTCTACAAATCTTTAAATGTGTTTATTGTTGGTATATTACTCTGTTTCTGTAATGCAGAAGGCATTTGGCCTTAGGGTTGGTCTGTTTTTCTCAGGCTCTCTCATCAGCTGTGTAAGACATGACCCCTTTCCTCCTTCTAAAGGAGGTTGCAAACATTCTCCTCATCCCCTTCAAAATTCTCAGAACTGAGCATGCTATGTATCTGAGAGTAAACCTAATCTCAACGAGGTCTTCTGGATCCCACTTCGCTGCAAGACACATAACTGGTAATGTCTTTGTGGTGGAATGTTTGATTACCATCTCTCTGTGGGAAAAGGAGCCGTTTAGGGGACGGATCCTCACAGTTGGTTATGGCAGAGGCACTGTCACTACGGTGTCTTAGCAAATGTCTTTGTCAATTCTCCGGGCCATTACTTCCAATACATCTTTGGTGTCTGATATCAGTCTTTATACTCGTTGTGTTTTGTTTCTTTGCTCCAAGAATTTCATCACAGTGTAAATATATTAATAATCCCTTTCCAAATCACTTAATGTGTCCTTTTTTCTCATTGACCTTATAGACCCTGATATCTGGAGCTGTGGTGGAGCAGTTGGACTTCCTGCGTGTCAACGAGGCAGAGTAAGACCTTCCTCTAGTCTTTATGTTGTAAAGTCAGTTTATCTGCTAGCAGAATACTTTGAAAAAGCTTCCATTAAGAAATCGACAAAGCGAACAAGTCATGCATGTTTCCCACCTTGGTTTTTGATGAGTTTAGAATCAATAAATCAGTAAAAAATAACAGAATGACGGCAGCATTGTTTTGATTGTTGCTTCAATTGTGAATTTTCAAAATGGAAAAAGTGTATATGAATCTTCCGTTCCGTCTTTATACTAATAGCATACTTGTGTGTGCATAGGATCCCAGAGTTTAGGAGCTTTGAGGAGCTGGAGCTGCCAAAACACTCCAAAGTGAAGAGACAGATGAGCACCCCCAACGTGTCTGACCTGGAGCAGCAGCCGGAGATCGACGTGGAGGAGTGGCTGCAGAAGCCAACCAATGAGATCATCCAGAAGTTCCATGTGAGTTTATAAGATTTAGTGGGAAGTTTTAATTATATTTATTTAATTGTTATGCTTCCATAATGAAGTTGACAATACAATCACACAAAAAATAAACAAATTAGATGTATAAATAAATCCTTCATGTATAAGAAAATTGTCCATGTGTAAATCTTGAGCGGTGTTCCCTGAGCTTGGCGCTGTGCCTGTAATACATAGCCATAAATACACTTCAGGTATTGTTTGCACGGGCCATCAGGTCTTTGTCACTCCCAATTCGGAGTGACAGGTGAAAATAAGTGTCTGAGCACTTGACGTGTATGAGGGGAGACTGTCTGCTGCCATCCCCAGGTAAACAGTATAGTAGTAGTAATTTGAGCAGTAATGTCAGATGAAGTAGAAGCAGTTTAAGTAGATTGTTAGAACTGGTGAAAAAAAAAAAATGTTAGGGGTCTCATTTTTGGTGCAGGCAAAATGGTTCCATAGTGCCTGGTACAAAGTTGCTCAAATTGAGCCCTTGGTTGTGGTTAGACCAACAAAGTCAGAACTTCAGAAGGCATATGAAGCATGGTATGACGCACGAAAAAGCCTCTTGGAGGAAAATCGTAAGCCCAACAGGCCATTTAAAATGTTATGTGTAATGTTTAGACTACTGTGTTTTTGAGGTTCCATCACACAAATAAACATTTGTTTTGTAATGAACACTCTAAATGTCCTTCTCTTAGTCTGTTTTTAATTATCTAAGTAGAGTATGATAGCGTCAGGATTAAAGTAATATATGTAATATAATAAAACATTTATTAAAATTATTTCAAGCAATTAATAAATAATTTACCCCAATCTGCTATGGCATGCTAAAATGCTTTATTTTTTATATTTCAGGCACAAGGAAGTTTCATTACGGCTTATTAGTGTTACAGAAAATGTATGTAGCTGTGTGCAAAAAAGGTATTTAAGTGTTTTTGCTTCTTAAAGTGTATATTTTTGGTAGATGTAACGGGTCTCCCCATTTGTGTGTGTCATTTTTCAGGACTGCGACTGCTTGGCCAGTCAGGCTCAGCTTGCAAGCATCATTCTGAGGAGAGAAGGCCCGGCATACCTTGCAAAAGATGGTAAGGATACACACACAAACAAACACAAACACACACACACAGGCAATGTGAGATATACTGGCCCAACACTAAAGATGAATTGGGAAGATTTTGCACAAGTCGCACAAGTATTTCCGATTAAAGGCTATACTGTTCCAGATATCTGCTCAAGTGATCCTGTAGTGTGAGGGATTAACACACCTAATCTTTATTTTACCGACTGGATCAGAGTTTTTACAATTTAGATTTTTTACAACTGAAACCCTGTAGTTTGAAAGGAACAGTGATGTAATATTGATCATAAATTAAATAAAAGCGTCACTCCTTGTTAGCTTGCAGCAGTAGCTTGAACTAAGCCTGTTTGAAACTAACAAGAAAATGTTAATATTTTCCAACTCATCTGTAGCTAGTGCTGCAAAATGTATAAACCATGTTGAAGTAGTCTTGTTAGCCCTTTTTCTCACTTATTTTGTTCTTCTCTACAAATCATCAGCTCAGATAAGTGCAACCAGCTGCCCACCACAGTCCAACGCCATGTTTGTTCTTTGAGATCCCAAGTCTCTGGAAAAATCATTTAGTACAAATGCAAGAATGGAGGATACATTTGCATATAAGTATATGTTCTTATGAATATAATATCTTATGTCTGAACGCAAACATTTCTCTGCTTCTAGAGAACCTGACGGATGAACTTGAGAGACTCTACAGAAGAGCTGGCAGCAGAAAGCTTTGGTCTGATATTCTCACACACACATACACAAATGTCCCTCCTGTCTGTCATTTAAATGAATGTTTCATTGCCATTAGTCGATTTATTATGGAGTCCAAATGCATAGAGGATTACCAAAGTGTGCAGATCTAAAAAAAACATGAATGCTAGGGTTTGCAGTTTATGTTGTTTCAGGTCCCCATAACCCGAATAACTTGTCTCTTTACCTGTTGTTTTCTCTGTTTGGCGTCCTCACAAAAATCTTGTTTTATGTTGACACTTTAATCTGGCCAAACTGTAGGCTGGTAGTGCGCCATGCTGCTGCCATTACCAAGAAGTTTGCCAGCTCTATAGCTCCTCACATCACCACAATACTGGTGCATGGGAAACAGGTAATGTCCAGCAAGAGATGGACTGAAGACTCGGCATGTTTACTCCCGGTTAGCTGGCTAGCTAGCTGTCTAGCTTGAGATCTGTGTGAGGGTCAGCCGTTCCTACTTTGTGATTCCTCAGATCCAACAAACAGAGCTTTACAGAGACAGAAATAAGAATATTGTATAGGTTTATTTTTTATTTTTTTTTTTTATTGAAATATTTCAAAAATGCTTTCATTTCTTTATGTTAATGACTTAACTGAAATAAAGACGTAAGCTAAATGTGTTAGCCTAAATTTAGTTGAATGGCTAAATAAAATAATGAAAGCAATTTGTACATTTGTAGAATACGTCCCAAAAATGTATGAAAACCTTCAAATAAAACAGTTAACACTGACTGAACTCAACTTTAATCAGGCAATTGCGTACAAATAATCCCACAATCTGCAATCAAATGACCAGTTGAAACCCTGGTAACCGTTGGTGTAATGCAGTAGGCGAGAGCCCCTTGCTAAATTGTCAAATGCTAAAGATATTTCTAGCTAAACCACCAAGTTTAGCACAATCAGGGCTAGCACTCACACGGTCATGAGTTTGGCTAAGCTAGCAGCTAGGCACTTTGCCTCAGATTTGTAGGCCTACAGGAGCTTGTAGTTGGTGTTTGCTTTCTCTCCATTAACCATCACAGAGGCCGGACTGTCGTTTCTGTTCTGTCTTATGGCCAACCCAGTCTCACGGCATTTCGTGTTATAGTCACAAAATTAATCTATTGATTCGTGTTCACCAACACGATTTCCCCATTTTCTTTGTGTCACACAGAACGATTTTAAAAGCAATGTAAATAATAACAAATTAGAAGGAAAAAAATATTTAAAAAAATACAGATTTCAGTATTCTGAGGCTCTGTGCCCCATTTCTTTTCCTCGCGGACGGCAAAACAAGTCCGACATTATACGATTTAAAATAAAAACAATAATCGTGGCTTGATATTGAGTAAGAACATGTTTTTACATGAGCCACACAGCTTCCGGTCTTCCAAGACCCAACTGGACAAAAAGACGTGGTGCAGGCACAAACATACTACCAATAGAAATACATTGCTTTTAAAATCGTTCTGTGTGACACGAAAAAAAGGGGAAATCGTATTGGTGAACACGAATCAATAGATTAATTTAATTTTGTGACTATTACACGAAATGCCGTGAGACTGGGTTGTTATGGCAGCATCACCCAATGCATTAAGGCTGGCTGTATACTCCAAATGAAATAGAAGTTAGCTTTTGAATATGGCGCTGTAAGGCCATTAGCTTGTCTCCAAAGCCATCTCACAGTTTTGTGGGTGCCTAGATTGAGTTTTCTGTTTCTCTTGGATAACCCCAGATTCAATATTCAGGTTTCTTAAAGCTAGGATATGCTTGGAACCACGATTCAAAAAGCCAGTCATACAAATACTCAATTTCTGGGTAGTAGCAAACAATATTTAAGTGAGAAATAATGTATGTGTCCACCTTGTGATTCAAATCCATCCAAAATGTAATGGCTTTCAACAGGTTTCATGAAAATCAAGTCAGTAGTTTTTCCGTAAACCTGCTGGAAAACGGAAACAAAACAACAATCAAAGCCAAAAATCGTTTATTCTTTGCAGACGTAGTTAAACATTAATCCACGGTTCTGCTTTAGCAAAGCTGCAAAGATTTCATTTTGTTGTATATTGCTGGCCTTATTTAACTATAATTGACCAAATGGATGGTTTTCAATATTGGACTGTGATTTCTGTGTCCATGGTATGGTTTTAATTTTTGCCAATATAACATTACACTACATTTATTTCCTGTGACAACTATTTTATTTTATGCAGTTTAGTAATGAATAGGATTTTAGCGTAGAGAAATTAGATTATTCCATAAAGTGAATACAAAAGCCTTGAGGCTGATATCCAACTTGCTGGAAAAGGCATCAATACTCAGTTCAATTTACTTTCTCATTGACCTAACATGGGCCAGGAAGTGAAGCTTGAAATGGGTTCCCCAACAAAGCATCAGTAGATTGACACCACTCCATGCCTTCTAAACATTAAGGCTTGTTGCTTTTCTATTCATCGTGCTCAAGATGTGCCTCAGGTATTTCTTGGGTTTGAGCAATGAATAAACACACACACACACACACACACACACACACACACACACACACACACACACACACACACACACACACACACACACACACACGAAACAAGAGTATTATAAAATAGCATATAATAAGAAGATGTTGTGTTTCGACTCAATGTATTCATGACCCCATTCATTAAATGATTTAATTTGTTCACTGCTTCTGTGAGGATGGCTTCAACTCAATGTGTGTGTGTACAGTATGGGCTACCATCTGAAGACTATGAGTGTTCATGTGCTGCTTTGTCCTTCAGAGGATCCTGCAGTCCAGAGGAGGCAGTTTGAAGGCTGTAGTAGTGACTCTTGCGAATATTGAACTGCAATTAGTGAACATTAAAAAAATGTTTAGGAAGCTAGTCATTTATTTGGGAGTTCAATAACTTGAACAAATTCATTTATTAGTACTAGGACCAACACATTTATCTCTCAGTAAGGTTTCATTAAAAAACGAATTTGCAGGTTATGTTTCCAATTTTATTCGGATGTGTTGATTTTAAATCAGGGGCATTGAACTGCTACAATGAGAAAAGGAAGCAGCCTTTTTATCTTGTTAGTGAAATGTTAACATTTTTCTAATGACTGATTCAAATGTTTGAATAATAGTATCTTGTTTGGCCACTGCAGTCATTGTACTCACTAGTCACTTTATGAGGTACACCTATAGCCAGTACTGGGTTTGACAGAACTGCCTTAATTGTTTGAGGTATAGATAACCAAGGTGCTGGAAAGATTGTTTATAGATTTTAGTCCGCGATGACACAATAGCATCACACAGTTGCTGCAAAGATGTCCATTATCAGATCTCCAGTTTTGAACACATCCCAACGGCGCCCTTTGGATTGAGATCTGGTGACATTTAAATCAAAGGATTTCATTGACATGTTCAAGAAATCAGTTTAAGGTTATTTGAGCTTTGTGCCAATGCGCATCTTTCGAAAAGTAGCCATTTGACAGTGACATTTAAACAATCCTCAACCCGTACTTTTTTGTTATTTACATCAAATTCCCTTCCATCTGAATGTCAAAGCAGACATTGAGACTGCTCAGACCCAGCAACCTTTTTTCCAATTATCCGTGTCCATTTTGGAGTGCCCATTCCAATTGTAGCCTCAGTATCCTGTTGTTAGCTCATAGGAGTGGTGTGGTCTTATCCTGCTATATCCTAACAATGTGTTGTGTGTTCAGAGACCCTAACCCTAAAATCTGTAGTTACCAGGGCTTATTTAAGTTACTGTCAGCTTTAAAACCATTCTGGTTATTCTCCTCTGGCCTCTACCATCAACCAGGCTTTTTTTTGGCCAGAACTACCGACTTTCTCCATAAAGCCTAGTAGTGGTAATGCGTGTAAATCCCAGTAGATCCTGAGAAATGCCATGTTCGAAGTCACTTAAATCACCTTTTCTCCCCATTCTGAAGCTTATTTTGAAGTTCAGCTGGTTGTCTTGACAATGTCTAGAGTTACTGTTGCTCATGGGGTAAATGGCTCTCTACCGGTGGGTGGTTCCAACCCCAGCCACTGCATTCAATGTGTCCTTGGTCAAGATAACTACCCTCATATAGCTCCCGTAGGCATATAATATTAGTACAAATAATGCAGTCTACTTGCATTAAGTTGCTGACACCTGTTTGGCTGATTGGATAATTGGATAATTGCATTAACAAGCAGTTGAAGTGTACCGAATAAAGTGGCCAGTGAGTCGTTTTTTTCTTACATACTCCATATTTACAAGACAATTGATCTAATTTAGAATGTAAAAGTCACATACAGTCTACAAGATAGTCTCAACCGAAGCTGAAATAAAGTCATGCTAATCCTAAACCCATAACTGGACAACAATAATTAGTTTGCTAAAGCCCTAGCTGTTCCTTGCTATCTGTCATGATGAAAAGAGTGTTCTTGTTTCTTTTCGCCCACTAGGTCTGTTGTCCGTCTTGCTGCCAGTCTCTTAACTAAGCTAGTGGACAGCCTTGCCCCCAGTATTACTAGTGTTTTAGTGCATGGCAAGCAGGTAAGCCTAAGTAGTTGAATCCCTTTTGTACAAATGATGTTGGGTTCTGATGGGAAAATGGCATGTTGGCACAATGATTTTAATGTTCACTGATTAATTAGAAGAAGAGAAATTGGTAATATCATAAGCTTTTCATGCTGCCGTCCAATGGGAATTACTCAATCTAGCTGCATGCTCACATCCCTCATCACAACTCACCTCCATCTGTGTGTGTAATTGTAGCAAGGCTGCAGTGTGACCAGCACAGAATCCTAATATGCCCCGTGTCCACGTGTCTAGACGCACTCAATGTGCCGACTGATATATTGTGACCTGGGAATTTGTCCGACGCCACTCCCTCGCGCTCGATGAGAGCCGGTGCATTATTTCCTGTCAAGTGTTACTCAGAGATTAGCCTCCACTCGAGAGTGTCAGTTATCTCGCCTAATTTTTACCCTTCTGAGCAGTTTTAGGCATTTCATTATGCTGAAGTAGCTCAAGGTGTGAATCTGCATATAGATTGCCTACCGGAGGGAATGCTCCTTTCAACATGATTGGAAAAGCTGATTTAAAATTTGAGAAGGCTGCGTTCCTCTCTGTGTCCTTACAATAACAGCTCAGTTGGAGGAAATCAGAGGCACCACCCCATTTAAGTCAATTCTGACTCTAGCTTTGATTATATTTCTCGGCAACGGTACGATTCCACAATGAATGTCCCCTCTGTCATTTTTTCCGAACTTCATTTCCAGCTGCAGGCTGTACTTTGCTCAGTTACAATCAGTTTTGATGTAAAGATGAATGATACATCTTCAAAGTGCCGGGTTTCATCAGCAGAAGGCAAGGATAAAAGTGTGTTCTCCCATCAGGAAGATTGGCTACGTGTAATTTTCATGAGATGGCTTTCAGAAGAAGCAAAATACAAAAGGGTAATCTTGAGATCTGTATTTTTTTCTGACTCACTTTTATGGGACTCTGCGAGAGGAGGCCAATTTCAGAGTGATAGAACAAAGATACTTGGAGGAATTGCACCTTGGAGGAGTGCGCACGTGGCTGACAACGCATGCACATACACGTGCACTGAAACATTCACACAAAGTCACAAAAGCTTAGAGATGTTACACACAAGTATTATTCTGCAACAGAGAACTTTCTAACTGTATGAGGGTTTGGTATATGCTCTTTGCCTCTGTGCGTGTGCGTGTGTGTGATAATGCCTGTGTTTACCAGGTGACCCTCGGCCTGTTCGGGCATGAGGAGGAGGTGATCTCCAACCCACTATCGCCGGGGGTGATCCAGGGCATCATCTACAGCAAGTGCTCCCCTCATGGGGGGGAGCGAGAGGCCGTTCTTCAGCAGGAGCTGGTCATCCATATCGGATGGATCATCTCCAACAACCCAGAGTTGTTCAGCGGCATGCTCAAGATTAGAATCGGGTAATAATAATACACTTTATTTATAAAACACCTTTAATACCATACATGCAGAATAAACTGACTTATTATAATGGAAATGTTTCATAAAGTGAGCATAAAAACAGGGAAAGAATGACACGATTAGTGGAAAAAATGGTGAAAAATAAAACACACTTGATAAACAATACAAAAATAAAGATAAGAAAGTATAATACATAACATAAGATTGAACTGAATAAGAATTTTGAAAAGGAGGACATTTTGTATCCATATTTGAATTTCACATATGGAAATGTGCAATGCGGCTGCATCAAAAGGTTTCCATTCTCTTCTTCTTTGTTCTTAGCTTTCTTCATCAGTGGTGGATATTGGAATTATTTAAGACAAAAATGTAGAAAGTAGATGGTTGTAATAGTGCTCTGAGATCTCTTTCAAATGTGGTCATGTATTCTTTGCTGTAATTCTCCTAACTTGGTTTTCAGGTAACTCAATACATCCTGAAGTAATTCGAGACCATTGCCCTCATTTGAGGCTGCAGCTGTTTTTCCTTTTTTTATTTGATCTGCTCCAAACATCACGATTGCCTGTCTCTAAAAAATCTATCTTCTATCTATGCTTCAAATTAACCACACTGCAGTACTCCTGGATGTTGACTGAGACTCAATTTAGAGGTGTAAATGGATGAAAGCCCCTGAGTTTTAACACATTTCTCCAGGCATAGTTGGTGCTAAGATACTGTCAGGAAAAATCGAAACTTGTGTTGAGCATATGTTGGAAGTAGTGTTGCTAGATACACTGTAGAATTTAGACAAACCAAATGTAGTTCCTAGAGTAGTTTATAGAGTTAAATGATATGGTGTTTAAAAGCCTGCTCGTGTTTATGTTTATTTGTGCTGTGGATTTCCAGATGGATTGTTCAGGCCATGAAACATGAGCTGAAGATCGGGGCGGGGGACATGCCGCCCCAGGACATCTACCAGCTCTCCCCAAGTGACATCAAGCAGCTCTTACTGGACGTCTTGCAGCCTCAGCAAACCGGCAGGTAAACATATTTTTAGACGCAGTGCCGTTATCTTAATGCATTTACTTGTTGTATAATCTTTTATTGTTTTGATTATTTTATCTTCTCTCATGTCTACATCCATATCTTATCATCTGCTGCCGCCACAAAACCCAATTTCCCCATGAGAATTATTAAACTGTTATCTCATCTTATCTTTCAAACATTTACTTATAGACAATTTCCTCTAGACTAGCGGCTATTAACATTATATTCCCTTAGTCCCTAAGTCAATTCAACAGTTCCACCCTTGTTTTGGCCTCAGGTCTTGGCTGAACAGGCGTCAGATCGATGGCTCTCTGAACAGGACCCCTCTGGGCTTCTATGATCGTGTGTGGCAGATCCTCGAGAGGACCTCCAATGGCTTCATGGTGGCAGGGACTTACCTCCCACAGGTACCTGCCTCCTCTGACACTGCAGGATAAATACTCCATCTCTGGAGGATTACTAACTAAATACTGACCAATGAGGCGTAAAGGAGACACTGTGCAATGTGGGCTGCTATACAATCAGCTACGGTTTGGCATCAGACTTGATTACACAGCTTAGTTGAATATTGGTTTCTAATAGGTCAGTTTGTACATCCAGTGGTCCGCCCTTTTCAAATGCTCTAATCAAGGGATTATGTGCAGTCATATCAATATGCAGAAAGAAGTCCGTTCAAGTAATGATCAGCTGTGGCCAAAATAACAGTCATTATTTTTCCTCGATGAGTAAACACCATTAAATACTTTTTGAATTAATCATTTTTTAAGAGGAGAATACTTTGGATTCATAATGGCTTCACTGTCCCTGTTAAGACAAAGAAACCAGAACAAGAAAACAGCGCAAGTGAAGGAGAGAGGTTAAAAGACGCAGAGAATGGGAAGACGGAAAACAGCAGAAGAAACCAGACAGGAACTCAGGAAGTAAACACCAAAGGGAACACACCATTGGCAGTATTTAAAGACTGGTAAATGGAAATTACAAATCAATTGAAAGTTACAATGCAGAAAACCTTGAACAGTGCTGCCTTCATTTTAAGTTACATTGCTGTTGAGGCAGCTCAAACCGTTGCTTTTCAGTAGAACAGACAACAAAGCAAAGTTTAAATCAATATGTTGTGTTGAGTTATTGATTTATTCAGTAAGTAGCCGTGTAATTAGCGAGATAATATGCTTTGTCTGGGTTCCTTTCACTTTAATCACCTGCTCACTGCATTCCTAATGTCATGACGGACATCTCTGTGTGTATACATGTGAGTCTAGATTATCTTGTCAACCTTTGGACCTATCAACATTACACTTGGCACGTGGTTCTGAGGGAATACAGTGCCGCCCATCAAGTGCTAATACTAGTTATATTCTTCTTTTTGGATTTGGATTTAGTTTAGCTCCTGTCACAGTCCGGACAAAGTGTTTCGATTAGCTCCTGCGCTAAGCTGTAAAAGCACAAATAGGTGCTTATCAAAATCCACACAACAGCGATAATTTTTCCACTAACAGCAACTATTTCTATTGGTGGCTAGTCATGTCAAATAGTTAGCTAACATTGCCACAAACCGTAACTAGCTAGCTTTTATCATTTACCTGTATGCTAGCTGTTGTTAAAGGTCACCTATTATGCAAAATCCACTTTTTCACGTCTTTTATACATAAACCCCTCTGTCTAAAGAGATTCTGAAAGTTTCAGGAAAAAAGATTCTCTCACTTTTTGTCCTGATCCATTTATATAAAAACCTGTCTGAAAATGAGCTGATCAGATAAACTCCTTATGGCTCCTTATTTTCATCTAGAGTAACAGACAGAGAATCAGCACTTTTGAAACAGGGCTGAAACAGAGGGGATTATGGGATGTTACAATGCATGATCTGTTTGGTATTCGGAGCCAAACACTTCAGAGACATGTTTTGTATATATCTGAGACCTATAATATATTGATGAAACACAGTATAATAGGGGACCTTTAAATGTGGCATTTTGTCATCTACTGGTATATTTACCTTTCCCTATACATTTTCCTTAAACTAGTATTAATACTAGTAACTAGTATTTTTGTGTTTAACTAATTTCACATTTATCTGAACAGTCCGCCCTTCCAATAAGGACATCTTCATGTGTGTCGGCCTGTCTGAACTACGACTTTGTTCCAAACATTCAATAAACTTGGGGCAGACACAATTAATAGGGCTTTCAATTTATTGAGGCCATAACATTTTCATGGTAACTTTTGCAGCTTATGAAGCAGCTAATGATGCGTACCTACAATCGTGTTCATAGACTCACTGAGAAAACCAAGACACAACAGCACGAAGGTATCCCAAACAGGCACGGGTTTTTTTTCTTTTTAAGTCACAAATGATCTTGCTTTAATAGACATTTATTGATAAGTCCTAAATACCTTTTTCTACCTATATGGATATGATACAGAAGAAATCGGGGCAGAATTGAACCTTAGCTTAAGACAGATTTGATTAAAAACTGCCGTCTAAAGCAAAGTTTGCACTCATTTTGAAAGGAAGTTCTATCTGCAGATTTATTCCATACCTGATGTGTTATGATCCCCCTAGTGATGGAGTCAGATGATTCAGTGTGACACTTTAATCAGGACCAAATAATTAAAAAGAATAATTATAACAGCTCTGTGCTAATGTTATACCGGTCACATCCACACAACGATCATAAATTACAGCATCGAGCAGCTGACATATCTCTTCACGCTCACTTGAAACCTTTTTTTTTTTTTTTGTCTGCAGCAACCGACTTTGTCCGACATGACGATGTATGAGATGAACTTCTCCCTTCTGGTGGAGGACACATTGAAGAACATCGTCCTGCCCGAGTACAGACAAATCATTGTAGAGGTAACCACAAAACACCACCAAAATGCACAGATGGAACCAAATACTTGCAGCTTACGTACATCTAATTACATAGATTTATTCTCAACATGACATTTACTTTGCTCTTATTATCTGGCATTGATCACATATCTCTGTATAAGCTAGCAGCATAAGCTAGTTAACAATCAAGCAGCAAGGATACTAGGTGACTCCATGTTCTCTACTGGCTGTCGTATGTTTTAAAGGGGCCCATTATAATTTCAGGTTCATATTTGATCTTTTCTGCTTGCACTGTGACATGTTTACATGCTTTAATGTTCAAAAAGCTCTTTATTTTTTTCATACTGCTTTAGCTGCAGCAACTTTTTAATCCTCTGTCTGAAACCAGAGCCCATTGCTCTGATTAGTAAACTGGCCGGCTGTGTTGTGATTGGTTAACCGCTGAGAGATATCCCGCCTGTCAGGTAGATTGTGTTGGAACGCTAGCCAATAGAAGTGCAAGTGTTACATAGCGATGTCACTATGTTACGGAAGTAACATAGGAGTGTGTGGGATAGAAAGTCCCTCTGGGATTTTAGGCTTTGCAAACCATTTACGTGCACAAAAACCTATATAATGGCGCGTTTCCACTACACGGCCTCGCTCGGCCTCGCTCGGTATGGCTAGGCCTCGTTAGGACTGGCTCACTTTATGGCGCATTTCCATTACAGTTTAGGAACTGGGGTAGTATCTATAGTAACGCAGTGTAGGCGGAGCCGTGACGTCATCTTCAATGAGAACCCCAGAAAAACAACACAGCCGTTAGCTGTTAGCACTCAGAGCTCACAGCTCCTCATATATGTTCAGAAACTAGACAAAAGTTAAACAAGTACAAACCACAGACTGTCTGTGTCATGGTGAATACAGTCGCTGCTTTATTTATGTCTGTATAGGCCGTTGTTGTGAGTGTGGACGGTCGGAGCATATACTGCGTTAGCTTAGCCAATCTCCATTTAGAAAACACGCATTTTAAAAGGTTTTTCGCCTGCCGTCTGTCTGCAGACTTGTCAAAGCATTAATTCATGGTTTTTACTAACCGGTATCAGTATGTTGTTACTTCGGCATCATTTTGAAACGTGTATTACAATTAAATCACGGTCAAATATGTCCATCTTGTTGTAGTTGTAGCCCCCTTGCCAGCGATTCTCTCTCTAGTTTAGCATACTCAGCCCGACTCAGCCTCGTTGTCTCTGGCCCTAGACCCCCGATTTTATGAGGCCAGAAAAACTGTGAATTAGGACCCGCCGGCCGGTACTAGGCCAAGTGGAAACGCAACCAAAAACGGGCCGCTGACGTCACAGCCCTCTTAAACCGTGCTCCGCGCTGTAGTGGAAACGCGCCATAACACACTACTGGAAAGGGAAAACCTCCAAAAATATAATATGACCCCTTTAAGATTGACTTTAGGATTCCTTGTTTTTGTTTTTTAAGTGAAGAAAAGAGAATACTTTCTCCGGTCTGTGACAGCCTTTTTTTGTCTCCATGAGCAGTTGCTGATGGTGGTGTCCGTAGTTCTGGAGAGGAATCCGGAGCTGGAGTTTGCTGACAAGTTGGATCTGGACGGTCTGGTGAAGGAAGCCTTTAATGATTACCAGAAGGATTGCAGCCGCTTTGAAGGCATGGAGAAAAAGGTAAAGTGGCTTGCCTCATAGGCAGGTGCAGATATTATAAAATGTTCTCATTTGAAAACGACCTGAATGTCAGCCACACAATTATTTTGAGGTTCAAAATATTTTTTTCATTTTGTCGACATGTTCGAGTCAAAGGGTTTTAAAGAGGGAATTTCAAATCTAACTCCATAAATCAGAAAAATAGTATCAACAGACAGAAAATGTTTTATGTTAATCAGGTTATAAATTTAAAAAAAAAGATAAAACATCAGAATATAGATAGCAATAAACCCAGAAAACCTTTTGGGCTGAGTGTGAGAAAAAACTCATTTTAAAAAACAACTATTAAAGATATGTATTATGGCTTATTATGGCATTTTAATGTAACGCTTATGAGCAATTTTTACCATTTTTGAAACCCTTTTTATTCTGCCTCTGTCAGGATGACATGGAGGCGTTCTACAACACACAACCAATGGGAAAGAGAGGCACCTCCAGCTACCTGACCAAGGCGGTCATGATCTTGCTGCTGCAAGGGGATTTCAAGCCTTGCAAGGATGACCCGTGCACTGTTAGCTAGATTCACAATGCTTTTGAACCCTAAGTCCAGCCCACTGGAGTGTAGTCATCAAATGATCCTGCAAGGGGTACTGAGTATTCATCACATGTATTAAGAAGATAAACTCTAAATGATCAGTTCCTCCCTTCAGCAGGACTCACCCTGAATTTCCTCAACAGCAATACAATCTGAAATAGCGTAGTTTAGCATACTCTATCTGAGAGGTTAAAATACAACAAGTAGTCATGTTTAATATAAACATATTGATTAATGGGGCTGAAGTTATTTATTAGCATTGGTAGCTAGTAATGTCAAATACAACATAGCTAGCTGTTTTTTTATCCTTTACCTGTATGCTAGCAGTTGTGCTTTATAGAACTCAGAACATTGCTTAACCTTAACACATGTTTTTTTTGGTGCAAATTAGTCTACTGGTATCTTGCCCTTTCCTTATAAATTTCCATTTAGCTTACCATAAAAATGTAAGGGAAAGCAGCCAGCCCTGCTCTGTCCAAAGTTAAAAGGGTATGCTAAGTTAAGCTAGCAGGCTGCTGGCTGTAGCTTTACATGTAGCATACAGACATGAGAGTGGCATCAATCGTTTCATCTAAGTCCCTGTAGTTAAGGGAATCAACATATTTTAAAACATGACAAACTATTTCCTTTGTATCTGTTTTTCTAAATGTTTTCGGGGTATTATAATAATGGCACTATGAACAATAAATAAATGAACAATTAGCTCGGATGTAAGCTATTACTCACCAGCAATAACCTATAGCTGTTACATAACAATTTGTCGGTTCAAGGTCACGTTGTATCATGAGGGTTTGCGTTTCCAAAATTGATGCATAGCCTATGCCCCCCAGGAGCCTTTCGAATGTGTCTCCTAGATATACAAATATACGATCCATCAGAATACATGCATTATTCTTTATCTTAAATATCTGTGGGTTTGAGAACAACTGCAAAGATGTTTGGGTTTTACACTGAAATCCACAGTATATTTAGCTGAGGATAGGTGTTTGTTGTATTAACTTGAGTTTCTAAGTTGAATGCCTTACCGCATGCACAAACTGCTGCATGACAATAGTTACTGTTTGCCATTCCATCGTGATGGTATAACACATTTTGTTGTCAAAATAAGAGTTTTCAAGAGGCCTGTTTTTCAAAGTAGGGCTCTCTCTGCATGACAATGACTCATCTGAAGTCCTAGAACTGAGGACCTTTTAGAAAATGCTGTTTTATTGAATGTGGGCAACAACAAAAACTGCTGTCATCTTTAGAAAAAGTTGATAAAAGATTCACTTATTTTAAAGCGTGCCTCTCTGAATATACTCACTGTGATGTATACGCCCAACCTTGTCACTGTGTGTGTGTGTGTGTGTGTGTGTGTGTGTTGTGTGTGTGTGTGTGTGTGTGTGTGTGTGTGTGTGTGTGTGTGTGTGTGTGTGTGTGTGTGTGTGTGTGTGTGTGTGTGTGTGTGTGTGTGTGTGTGTGTGTGTGTGTGTGTGTGTGTGTGCACGCGTGTACATGTACATGTACATTTATTGCCCTTGTTGTTCAAAATAGGTATTTTTACCACTCAACTGTAGTTTCAAAGAATAAAGCTATCATGGAAACGATAAAAATTCCTCTCTGTGTCACTTTGTATATGTGAATATGTGAGTCTCGCAATATGCTTCTGGAAAATGTCCCATATTGTTCTGCAGTTATGTGAATATAAAATATTTATATATAATTACTTCAAATCAAGCCAAAATCTCTTGTTCCTTGGGTGAAATTGCAGCAGAAATTGAGCATGACTGTTAGAGCCCAGAGCGGTGCGTTTGGCATCGTATCGGATCCTACCAGTTACACCCACTTATGTAGCCCGAACCCTTATCAATCTGCATCTCGTGGATGTGAGTGCTGTCTGCAAGACTGACTAACTGACTGGCAGAGAGAGGTGGAGAGGTGGGCGAGAGCCAGAGGAAGAATATCAATGAGTTCTGCCTCACGCTCAATATATTCAAATCAACTTGCATGCTGTTGAGAGGAGATCTTGCCTATCTTTTTGAATAGATCTCTTCCTAACCAAGAAAAATCCAAAAGTAAATTATTTTCTTTCAACAGTAAATAAGGCATCTAAAAATTGCTTGAAGATTTTTTTTATAACTAGTTCATGCTTATTTTTTTTGCAAATGAACTATACATCCTATATTGATATGGCCTCTTGTGGCCAAAACGAATATTACAAGACTTGGGAAAATTATCCTGATGAAAAAAACGTGTTTTTCTCCTAATTTTTTCCACAGATGGAAATGAACTGTTCATGAACATTCTTAGGCTTTCCGTACATCAAAGAAGGCCTGAAAAAACATGTTATGAGTCATATTTCGGGAATTGTAGAATTAATTGTTTTTGGGAGCTTGATCTGCACCAAAAGTAAGGTTGCTTATATAAGATTTTTTTTTTTTTATCTCTCTATCCCCCATCACCCAGAAGAGTACCTCGTTGATGGAGCTCGATGATGGTAGAACAAGTTATTATTTTGAAAGCATAACAATCTATAAATATCTATAATTTTATATAAATAAAATATCAATGTACTTACTATAAGTTCAAAACTCAGATGGAGGGACCTACATGATATTTGTCTTGGTGCAGCATGGCTCTACTTTTGGCTTTGTATATGGAGTCCATCCCTCACCATTCCACTAGGCTGCAGCAGAGTTCAAGATATGATCTTTTTTTTTTGTTGCTGGATTTTCTATATTTAAGATGTTTAAAAGAAAGAATGTTAAATGTTAAATCATAGATAACAATAAAGTATGTGGATTGTTATCCATGACCTGTTGTTTCATTGAGTACCATCAAAATGATACAATATATCGTTTCCACATTACACCCCCAAAATTAGCTTTTGCACCTTTCAAATCTGCAATATGTGGTTTATATCTGTTAATGGATGAATAGGTGATTTCTGCTTCACAAAATATCCTTCATACTTTTCAATCCTTAAAGAAATAATACATGTTCTCTGTACTGCCAACCGTAATGAATGAACCGTACATAATTCCACTCAGGAAACAGCTCAGGTTCCACCTCTGCTTCACATTGCTTTGTTATTGTCTATCCAAAGGGCACACTAGGTGAGTGGCCACAGTGGTTTTGTCTTGTCAGATGGGAGATAAACAACCAGGCGGGAGCTGGCAGGAGGCCTGCTGTTTGACTGAATGGAGAAGAAACAAAGAACATTAGAGATCAACAGAAAGCTGCACACAGATCAGTGGCCTTACAGAATGTCAAGACTTTGACAATTAAATGAGTTATGAGTTATTACTAGATACAATTAGATTAGAGATAATATAATCGGGCGATACACATGTACAAAATTGTGTGGAAAAGAGAAGATAAGAAGTCCTTAAAACCCAAGTGTGTTTAGTCAGTGAACCAGTAAAATAAGAGGCAAGATTTAAGTACTGCAGTGATAGATAAATCAATGGCAAATGTAGGAAAGCATTATTAATATATCTTCTTTTTTTTCTCTTCTTTTCCTACACACTAACTCAAGTCATATATACACACATCCCTTGACACTGTTACCATATATTTCTCTGGAAGCATTTTGTCAACATTAAGATAACAGATAGGGAGCATAATCACAGATGAAACACTCATTCCATGTGCTATATCGTTTCTCCCAAGGGGGCGAGCACAGCCTTCCTTCGTCTGCATCTCTATGACACCTCCTGCTAAAATACAGCAGGACATCCGCCGCCTCCTCCCTCGCCGTTATCTGACTGTGAGATGTGAGTGACTGCCAGACGGTAGATAAAACACCATTATAATGTGTTTAGTCTGCAGGCAGCCAACCGCTTCGGAATTATGCGGCCGATCTACATGTGGTTGTCATAAATCGTGTTAGTTCCATCATTTAAGTCTGGACTGAAATATCTCAAGATACATTGGGTAGGTTGCTATGACATTTTGAACAGAACCTTCTGGTCTTCAGGAAGAGGATTTTTGAGGATGTTGAGGATCCTGACTTTTATTCTGGCACTTAGTTTAATTGTCATAAAATGTGTTCACTCAGGATAAGTTTGAATATCTTTAGTGTCCAAGTTTTATCTTGCTCTGTCATCAGGTTGAAATACCAAATGATCGTAGACAGCCACAGACCGTATATTAAAAGTTGACGTTGTCACCAAGACATCACCCATTGGTTTGTTGACTAGGGTTTAAAGCATCCAGTTCAGCATTCAGGCCATCTCCATTATGGTTTATTGCAACCAATATTGGCACTAGAGGTTGGAGTTAAGTACCTTAAGTTTAAAGGCAACTAAGGTTTTATGTAAACCAAAAACACACTGAAAGATTTAAAGATTGTTAAAACCCAACAACTTTTTGTACATTTCCCTTCTGCAAGTCAAAAGCACTTTGCACAACCATCACTATATACATTACTTGAGGTTCTTGGCAAGCATACTAAATTCTTTAATTTTGTTTTGATCTCTTGCATTATCATTTTTCGGGCATAAGAATGTTGGAAGTTTGTGAACACCTTTGACCTTTGACCTTTGCAATGCAAAGGATGCTTTTAATCCATAAGATCTCTGTTGCAGTTGCAGAAATGTTAAATACCCTTAGTTCCAACATATACTAATATATACTGCAGTTGTAAAATAGAATTTACAACTGCAACCAAAGATAACATTATGTTAATAGTATGTGCAATCGAGGAGCAGATTGTAATCTGAAGGGCAGCAGGACAGCGGTGCATCGTGGTTCTCGAAACAGTTTCTCTTGTGTTATGACATGCTGGTGCTGCTATGGCCTCATAACTCAGCATCTGTCATCGAGAGAACCAAGGTGACACATATCTATCAACATCCTATATTAGAGATGGCAGATGCAGGCACACAAACACACCAACAGCCCTTGAATGTTAAGCCATATTGTCTCTAATTTTAATCGTGGCTAAACTAATGCTGTCGACATGAGACAATAAAAGTATTTGACATTGTAGAGCTATCAGTCAAAGACTTAAGGGCCAATTTAACAAAGAATGGATGGCGCCCACTGATGCTACCATGGATTGGGCATCCCTTGTGACCGCTATCTGCCCTTTCTTAAGGTCGGTTTCATAAAATATATTGCGCAAATGATATTACAGCACATCTGATTGCAATTATCAATAGAAATGACCAAATATAAATGTTGCCTCTGACTCTGTATTAAATTAGACCTTTTTCGCAATGAGCCACAAGGACAGTTTTGTGCCAAATTTGACCTGATTGAAATAGCACAGTTAGCTGTTCCTTTTTACCCGTTGCAAGTTTGTGATATTTTGTATTTCGAGAAGTTTGTTTGGTCTTTATTTTTGCAGGATTAGCTTCAGCATTAACCATTTCTTACCCAGAATCCTCTTAATTAACCAGTAATGATAGAGCATAGCTGATGGTCTTAGACAGATGAGTCAAGATGGGATATATAGCTAGGTAAATGTATGTAAAAAAAAAAGCGTCTAACAAGTAACATGTAATGTAATGTAACTAAGTCACGTGTGATGGTGACATGTCTTCATATGCAGTAGATGTGACATGTAATGGTGTTTGAAGGGACTTCAAACAGTATTGTAGATAGGGGCCAATAGTGACAATTTGTCCATGTTTCCGTTACCAATGATCTGGTTTAGTGCAGAGTGTGAGTAAATTGGTTGCTCGATATTTTATGTTTTCCTTAACAAACCTGCTTTAGTGCGTTTCCATTCAATTAAGAGGAAACAATTGAAGTGCCACTTCGATGCTATTTTTCACAAACACGCTGACTGACGCTGAGTAGAATATGGGAAAATGTATCAAAAGCACTTAACACTTGCCAATAATGCCCAACATACAGGCCAGGCCTCAATGATACAAATACATAGCTCAGTCTGATGCATTACATTTCCTTACATAATCCATAGCTACCATTGATTTTCTCCTCTTAGTACTTTTAAGCCTGGCTATCACTTTAATCAGCTCATGTATTGATGTGTTGTGCATACAAATAACATACATTCTTATCATTGCTGGTTATTATTACTATAATGATGTCATCTCTTGCAAAGCTACATACAAAATTACACTATTATATTGTACTAAAATAATGAAAAACCATTGTAGGATTTCGAACCATCTTTTACATCAAAGGCATACATTGGCTAGCCTTTTAAGATTAAAATGTCAAATGTTACTATTTCACCTTCCATAATGTATCAGTTATGTAAAGGGGATTGTGTGAGATTAACGACAGGCTGAACAGATCCTCCCTTTCACACACTCCCCTGTCTGATTGTGTCTGGAAGGAGGTGACTGTATGAATATCCAAACACCTTGGGAAATGTAATCTTCTCAAAAGCCCAAGGCCAGACAAATGCAAAGGCTAATGCTCTCTGCACATGTACAGAGGAGGAG